CAGTGAAGAGTCCAGGTCTGGACACTAGGAGCCTGGGTGACCATGACCAAGGCTGTTCACACTGCTGGCCAGCAGGCGGTAGGCTCCAGTTTAAGAACTCCAGGGTGAGGGGACAGGCTCTCTGGCCTGGAATTTGAGCCCCCGATGACAGCTTCCTCCCTGGTTGACTATAGATAAGCTACTTTGCCTCAGTGGGTCTCAGGCTTGCATCTTTGAAATGGAACAGACCTAGAGGCACCTGCCCAGCTCCCCTCCCTCACCTGTAACTCACCTTTGAGGGTACAGGCCACCGAGGGATGGGCAAGTAACCAGCCTGAGGGAGACCCTAAGCAAAGGTAGCAGATGGCCTAGTCTGTCCTGGAGCTGGAAAAGAAGTTGCTAGAAGATTGGGCTGGACTTGCCTTCACGCCGATCCACACAGAGACCAAAACCAACGGATCTATTCACCAGGGCTAGAACCCAAGTCCGTGGGTGGCAAATGATGCTGGAGCATGGAGGGCTGGACTGGGAAAACAGTGGCAGAGCTGATGGGGTCAGGGGCTGCTTAGAGGCCCAGAGAGTTCCAGCCCAGCTCCCCTACAGCCCCCATGGGGACCTCAGGGGACACCAACCACTTTCCCGTCCACCTCTCAAATGGGATTAAATGCGTGGACAAGGAATAGATACAATGACAGCTGCAGCAGCTGGCACATTGAGCCTTGTCAGGCTTTCCTGAGCGTCACCTCCAAAATCCCCCTGGGCCTCCCATGTCCCCTCACGCTCCTTGTTTCACAGTCAAGGGCCCATCTGAATTGAGTAAGATGGAGGGAAACTTCCCAGAACCAAGTGCACACACAGCCTGCAGTGCAGACTGGAGGGGTGCCTGGAGTAAAACCAGGTGTGGCAACATGTTAGAAAGACAAAAGCTCCAGGGGCCTCCTCTCTCTCCAGTCTTGGACGCTGGAACCCTAACCTGCTGCCCCAGAGTGACTGTTGGAGTGACCTGTTGGGCAGCCAGCTGTGGAGCCAGCTGAAGCTGGGGACAAGCCCCACACCAGGCAGCCAGGGGTCAGGGGGAGGACACATTCACAAGGAGAGGTGATTGGGCTTCTGGTAAAGCTCGATCCTGCTTTCCAGTGAGACTGGCCCAGCAGCTTGGTGTGCAAGGGCTGCCTAGGCCCAAAGGGCCCCCTTCTCCTGGAGGAGGGGGCCTCTGGGAACCCCCTAGGACCCTCCTGCCTTCTTCCAGGCCCATGTCAGGCCCTTGCCGCTCCACCTCCCTGTGCATGGCTGTGCAGGGCTGGAGGCTCCCCCGAGACTGCAGCCCAGCCACCCACACCTCCAGCCCCCTTCAGACCTGAGTCCACCCTTTGCCTGCAAGGCCTGCTCAGCCAGCAGATGAACAGCCAGGCCTTGGTGTGGGGACTGATGATTTCGGGGTATTGGAGCACTCAATGATTGTGGTGAAATGTCCCAGCAGGAGCTTTCACTGGCTTGGATGGCCACGTGGCATCTCTGTCCCCAAATTTGCTCCAGAGGAGTATTGAGTCCAGGGAGGCACAGCACCTAGGACTGAGCTCCACCTCCCCAGAGCCTGGCGGAATCCTCCAGGTCCAGGCTCCAGCCCTGGCCCTTGCCCCCTCCTCCAGGAAGCCCTCTTGAATTGACCCACCCCCTTCTGCCTACCCTCAGCACCTCCTGAGTGCCAAGGCTTTGGCTTACTAGTTCCTGGGAGGCAGAACAGAGCTCCCAAGCCAGAGTTTGAACCTTGGTTCTGCCCCTGACAAGATGTGTGACCCTAAAAGAGCCACCAACTTTCTGTGAGTCTTCACTCTTCGGCTGTAAGTGAGGGCAACCTCTGCTGGTGTGCAAGTCTGAGGTGAGAACTCAGTGGGGCGTGGACCCAGCCCAGGGTTGCCAAGCTGCAGTGTCCACCTTCTCCCTGCCACACTGTGCCCTGCCATCGCCCATACAAGGGGGGCCCCAAAGAGCCCAGAACTTCTTTGTAAAAAATTGTGTATTTATTTTACATGTTTAAACTTCCATCACCTTCCACGTACTCTCTATTTGTTGCAACACTTTTACATCTCTCAGAACAGTTCTTGAACTCATCAATTTTGAAGCCTTTTAGTGCTTCTGCCATTTTTTGTTTCACCTCTTCCACATTGGCGAATGTTTCCCTTTAAGGACTTTTTTCATCCGGGGAAACAAAAAAAAGTTGCTTCAGGAAAGACTGGGTGCATAGGGAGGGTGGGGCTTGGGGATCTGGCGGTTTCCGGTCAAAAACTGCACAACACTCAGCATAATGTGGTCAGGTGCGCTCATAAGTCACCCATCATGAAATGGACAAACACATTGAAAAAGTCTTAAAAAAAAAAAAATTTACTGAAGCCGAACCCATCCTCTCACAACAATGCCAGGTGGCATGCTGATGCAGATGGGTTCCTAGAACACCCACTTAGTGGGGGAAGCCTGTACTACAAGAAGCCTGACTTGTAGAGGATAATTCTGGATTTTCTTGGGTCCCCCCTCACACCTCTCAGCCTCCTTTGGTGTCCTGCCCCCAGGTCCTCTGGGGGCCATCCCCAGCCAGCTGACAGGTCTGCCCCTTAGAAAGGAGCATCAGATCGGAGCATTTCCCTGCTAAACACTCAAGAGGTGCTCGGCCACACCTTGTGCCCCCTCTGCCCTGGGCAGCCATTTCTCCTCCTCACTCCTGTTGTACCGGGTGTGGACCTGCTCAGGGCTAGTGCACTGGCAGCTCCTGCCACCTGGGATGTCCTTGCCCTAAGATGTTGCATAGTGAGCTCCTCCTCTTTGCTTGGGTGTCCAGACTCAGGGCCACCCAGCTCCAGAGCTTTCCCCGAGCCTCTCATCTGCAGCAGCGCCCCTACACCCAAAGCCACTCTGCCCCATCCTCTGCTTTGCTTTATTTACTCTCCAAACTTGTCCTGAGTGCCCATTAATTCACTTGTCTGTGTCCCCAGGGCCTAGGTGGAGTCTGGCCCAGTTGGTACCCAAGGAGCATGTGAGCTGATAAAAGACTTAATTGGTGAAGGGTCTCCATCAGTCGTTGTTAGTGCTGGTGTGCCAGGCCCAGAGCTCCTACCAGGTGCCCCCTCCTTCTCCCCGGCCAGTGCTGGCGGGCTGTGCCCCTCTTACTAGTTCAGGGCCACCCAGGGGTGACTGCACTGACCAGAGGCTTTTCCACGTCTGTTAAACCGGGTCTCTGTCTTGGGTCTGTGATCCGAGGACACAGATTCCACAGTCCCTGTTCTCGGCATCACTCACTTCACTGAGAGAGAGGGAAACGTGAAAATAAGATTAAAGCATAAAATTACTGGTTCAGAAGTAGCTGGAAACTCCTTCCCAGATTGGGACCCTAGCTTGTGCGGAGGCAAGGGTGAGGGGGATGGGACCCTGCTGGACAGGATAGTGGCTGCAGAGACCTTAGCAAGGAGGGACTTGGGGATAGAACCATCATCCAAGCGCAATTTGCCTGAAAGCGGCCAGTTCTCACCATCCCACGTAGCAGTCCAGGGGCAGGTGGGCAACTGAGACCCCTCAAGGATAGCTCTGCTCTGTGCCTCACTTCCTCAGCCAGTGACTTGCCCCTGTGGGCCTCAGTTTCCTTATTTTCAGAGGACGGGTACTAGTTAGACCCACTCCCAGGGGTGTCCTGAGCACTGAAGGAGGTGTGAAGTCCTGTCCACTACCAGCACCCGCGGACACACTGAGATGTCTCCCCTCTGTTGGCAGTGAAGTTCCTGGGCTCCCTCTGGTCACGGCAGCTTTCTGTCCAGGCCACTGCACCAGGTGGGGAACAGCCTCCCTTTGGCCACTGCTACCCACCCACCAGGTGACTCAGATCTGGGGGTAGAGTCCACAGAGGGGTCACCACAGACATTTTTGGAGTCACCAAGGCACTAAGATCCAGGCCGAAGCAGTAAGACACTTCCTACATCCCTGGCAGGGCCATGGGGACCCAGAGGAGGTAGGTTCTCAGGCCCTGTAGCCAGCAGTGCAGGAGGCACCACTCCCAGGAAAGAGCCTTCACTTGCCCCCGCTCAGCTGAAGGGCCTAAGGACCTCCAGGACCTTGCTTTTTATCCTTTCCTGCCTCCCTGTCACCCCTCACACCTTCCTGCTCTCAATCAGCCAGCACTGGCCTCCTCAGGTCTGGCCTCCTCAGGCCTGCAACTTCTAATTGTCTAAAGGCTAAGAAAAAGGGGCGGTGAGCACTGTCTGTAAAATAAGGGTTGGACGACTGAACGAGGCTCAAAGCTTTCCTGTGACACATTGGAGTGAAGGGGCGGAACACGGCAAGACCAAGTGGGATGGCAGGTGCCTAAGCGTTCCAGAGTCAGAGGGCCAGACAAGGGCATGTTTCCATTTTAACTGCTCTTCTCCCCACTTTGGTGTTCGGGACCCTGAGCAAAGGACAGGGTCCCCCAATACCACCTGCCCCAACCTGAGGCCAGACCTGCCTGCCAGCTCACTGACCACCATCCTCAACCCAATAGACCTGCCCCACGGTGTGAAATGACCCTTCCGCGGGCCTCCTGGTGGTCGGGTACAGGAGCCTCCTGGTCACGCCCTGGCGCCTCTGCCTCACCGTACCTTCTCCCCAGGCTCACTGGCCAAGCCTGCCCTGACCACTGGCCTCACCACCTCAAAACACGCTGTCACCAGAGATGGTCCGCAGCTCCCATCCCCCTAGAATTCTCTGCTTTTAATCTTTAATTGGCGCCCCTCTATTTTAGCATGGCAGCTCTGTCGCTCCTCTGCCACCACCCCCAAGCCAGCGGTGACCTGGGCGATGACCCTGCAGACCCTTACCTCCTGCCTCCCATCCTCCCGGGGCGGGGGGGGGGGACAAGGAGGAACGAAAGGCTGCATCCTGTCCCCTCCACACTGTAGTGGGCCCCTGGCAGGGCCTGCTGAGCCACATCAAGTCCCTGGGCCTCGGCAGACCCAGATGTAAAGTGCGACAATGACAATAAGATCAAAGGGGACACAGAGTGTACAGAGCTCAAGAGGCCCCACTCAGGCCTCCACGAATGAAAGGCACGATTTTATTGTCATTACAGAAAAACCAGTGGGAGAAAAAAAGACTACCAAACGGTTTTGTTACAATAATTATTTTATAAAGTCTTATCAGACATGTATTTCTTTCCCTCTCTCAGGTGGCAGGCACACCTTCCCAGGAGGAAGCAAACCCTGCAGCTTGGAGCCGCAGCCCCTGCCCCCCGGGTCTGGCCCTGTGAGGGTGCAGCTCTGCAGGCTGTGGGTGCAGGGGCTGCGGCTTTGGCTCCACCTTCTCGTCCATTCTTCCGCCCTCCCAGAGCAGGGCCTGCGCGGAAGGGGGCGGGCACATCCACAGGTGGGGGGTCAGCACCAGGACAGCCACAACTGCCTCAGGTCCAGCACCCGGTCTCGGGATGGGGCTCTCCACAGGGAGGAGCCAGAGAAGCTGGGGTCTCAGAGCACTCAGGGCTCAGGGGAGAGGTGGGGTTGGCTCACCCTGAGACCAACCCCTGGAGAATAAATAAATAAATACTGTAAAACTGTGCAGTCCCCGGCCTGGCCTGCTCTCCCACCAGGGGACTGTCACTGTCAACCTCAGTTCCTCTGGCTTTGATCCTCCCTAAGAAACTCGGGTTGGAAGGAGGGGCCCGCCCCACCCTGCGAACTGAGAAACCAGGGCTGGCAGAGTCTCTACAGTTCGGGAAGCCACGGCAGGTGAGTGGGGGCCCACAGGTGAGACAGATCCGGCCTGTCTCCCTCTTTTTCTGACACAGGGCTCACCACCGTGGAGCCATGTGGGAGCTGGCGCTTGGCCTTCAAGTTGTTAGGCCTTCAACCTCCCTCTGTACCTTGTCCCCAGCCTCACTCCTGCTGCCTCTTCCTGGTCCAGCTGCCAGAAGGACATGGGTGCCAGGATGACTGGAGGAGGGACAGAAAGAGCCCGAGTCCAGCTGGGGCCAGGGTCCCCTCCAGAGGACGGCTGGGTGAGGCGAGGAGGCTACGTGGCCAGGTCAGAGCTGGAAGGGGTACTGTCGGAGGTAGTCGGCCATGCGCCGGGGCAGCGGCAGGCAGTCCACGTCGGTCACCAGCCGGTTGATGACCAGGCGGCACAGGTGCTGCAGGCTGCGGGTGCCGCTCCTGCGCACGAAGGGCTGCACCAGTTTTAGGTGCACAGCAGTGGCCGCCGGGGTGGGCGGAGCCAGGTCGCCAGGCACGTCCTCCTTAGGGACAGGCAGGGCTGGAGGCGGCGCAGGGTCCGGGGCATCGCCTCGGGTGTCGGCAGCACAGGAGGCCACATAGTGCTGCACGAGGCTGACGACGTCTGGGAAGGCCAGGATGCGCGGCCTGGACAGGCAGTTGGAGTCCAGGCGGAAGCGGGAGTCGGCGTACTCGATACGCACGTTGGTGGGGCCACGGGTGGTTTTGACTGACAGTGTGAACAGGTAGCTGGGGTGGGTGCTGTCACGTACTAGGAATGTACCTTCTGGCATCTTCTGCAGGTGTTGCCGGGCCTCGCTGGCCGTAATGGAACCCCAATACCAGCCTAGGCAAGTGGTGGAGAGAGGACCGAGAGATTGGTCACAGTGGTAATTATTGGGGGGTACCAAACCAAAGCAGGGCGGCTCTGTCTCCCACTTCTCACCTCCCTGGGAAGGGCTGTCCCTCCCCCCACAGACTCTCCTGGGCAGGGCTATGCCTCTCACTCAAATCAGAATCAAGAGTCAGAGCTAAGCTTCCTCGTTCAGACTTCTTGGGTTAAAGGCTGCTCCCTCCTCAGACTCACCAGATTCCCGAAGGTAGGAGAAGGTCTTGGCTATGCACAGCAGGTCTTCCTCCGGGTCTAGCGCCTTGGGCTCACTCTCTGTCTGGGCGGGGATCTCCTCTGCCACCTCCTCCAGGACGGCCCCAGCAGGCAAAGGCTGCATAGCTGGCTCAGGCTGGGCCCACCGGGGCCTCTGCCCCATCTGATCCACACCCAGAAAAGGACAAGGTCTAGAAGGGAGTGGGTGGGCAGTGAGTGGAGACCCTGGCTCTCTCAACTGCAGAGCTCCCCTTTGCCCCAGACTGGCTACATGACTCCAGACCCTCTCACTATGAGCCTCAGCTTCCCGCAGGCCCATCCATGGGCTCAATGAGTCCAGCACCCCTCCTCCCACTTATCTCAAAATTCGCCGTGACTGCTTCCCCCCCACATGGGCTTCCTTTTGAAAGAGACGTCTCCACCCTCCTGCATTTGTTGAACAGTAAGTGATCTCTCTCTCTCCTCCCTCTATTTTGCACCAATCAAAACCACAGATCATTCCCTATAGACATTTCTAACTCGCAGTGGCCAGCTGGCGTCCTCACCACACTGACGGGATGCAGTGCAAAGACGTCTCACACTGGTGCCCTCCTGGCTGAGGTGAGCTAGTTAAATGCACTGGCCCAGTTGAGCAATGGGAGGGACTCAGCCCACAGTGGGCAGAGCTTAAACAGGTCAGTGTCCGATCCTGCTCTCTGCTCCTCCCAGCTCAGGGTTCCACATGGGCAGCGGCCTCTAAAGGCTCTGGCTTGTCCCACCTCCCATAAACGTGAGCTCTTGACGGAGGGCAAGGTACTCGTGCCCATCCCAGGTCCCACCCTGGCAAGCCAGCCCTGCTAGGCTCCACGATCCCCAGCAAAGCTGGCTCTTCACCAGAACTGTCCCCACCCACAATGAGGGGTCCTACCCCGCCAGACACAAGGGCTTCAGCCACACTGTACCCTCAGCGGGCTAGAGTTGCAGTGATAAGCTAGTCCTCACTCGAGCGGTAGCTTCTCTCTAGGGGAACCCCACCCAGCATGGTGATCCTGGGCTTCCTGGGAGTGAGGGGCATGGCCCTGGTGCCCAAGGAGCGGACAGCTGGTCCTCCCTCATTGCTCACAAAATGCACCCTTAGGCTTCTGCTCTGGATCTGGTTCCCCTCTGGTCCAAGGTAATGAAACCATGGGCCCAACCCTTAAGAAAAACTTATAACCCAGCCATAAAAGCAAAGGGTGTCACATGGGAGGCAGGGTCTCCCTGCTCCTGAGCCGACCCTGCCAGGCCAAAGGAAGGAGTAGGGAGGACGGCGTGGGTCACCAGCGCCAGATACTGCTTGGGAGGCAGGAAGAGGTGGGCAGGAGCCAAATCCAACAGTGAAGGTCAGGGATGACCCTTAGAAGACTTACACAAAGAAGGGCCCCTAGGTACTCATGAGCAGAGGGGGCCACAGACCCTGGCACACCACACCTGCCTAATCCTATCCCATACCCATTCTGGCTGCACTGTGAGGGCTCCGCAACCCCATTCGGGGAGCCGAGGCTGGGTTCCCAGGAGCTGGCTGGTGGCCTGCCTGTCCGGCCTCAGAGATCGGCTCAGGCCGGGGAATCTTCCAGCCTGCTAGGCAGTTAGCCAGTCAAACTGGAGACTCTGGGGGTGGCCACGTCCGGGCAACTTAGCAGGACACACATGGATATGGGCGACTCTAGGGCTGACATGGTGTCTGGGTGTGTCCATGGCTGTGTCATCTGCACAGCGGGGGCGTTGGCTGCTGTGTTCCAGGTGTGGATGGCATATATGTGTGTGTGCCTGCTGTGGAACCCAGACTTTGAGTCCGGGGGACACATGCCAAGGAGGCAAACTCAGCCCTGAGGGGGGACCCCTCCACAGAGCTGGCAGCTCAAACCTACAGTTGGGAGTCCCTGACCCAGGAGGGCCCTGCTGGCCTGTGCTTGGTATGTGTGGAGGTCTTAAGATCTTGCTCCCTGACATCCAACACTGGCCCCGAGTTTCAGCTGAAGCAAAGTGAAAGAGAGTGTGGGACCCTGGAATTGGGGTGGCGGAGGGGGCCACTCTGAGGAAGGCAGTGATGGGGGGAGGTATTTAGGAGCCCTAGAATTCAGAGAGGAGGGAGATGCCGGAGACAATCCAGGAGAAGTATAGAAGTACATTCATCCTGGCGCCCCCAGGTCTCCTCCCAGGAAACAGGATGGCTCAGAGCAAGGTCAAGGGGCACTTCAGCCTTGCCTCACCTTCTGTCCTTCCCACTGGGCAGCACCCGGTTCTGATCACAGCAGCCACCCAGCCACCCAGCTCTCTCTGGGGATTTCTCAGCTGTGAGATCAGTCTGGAGAGAGTCAGACCCCTTGGCTGAAGTGAAGGTGAGGCTGAATCTCTGGCTGAAGGAACGTGCCAAGAACATTCAGCTAAGGCCAAGACTGTCTTATCGGCCCCACCCCACCCCCGCAAGTCTTTGGGAAACTTGGAGAAGAAAAGCAGGATCCTGGACTGGGCTGAGGGGAGGGGTGAGGCAATTGTGGGGGTGTCCCCGACAGGACCAGGACAAACCCAGGCTCTCCCAAGAGCTGCTGGTCAGCAGATGCCACCCTGAGGAGAGGCAAGCATGTCAGGGAGGTTCCCTAAAAGAGACTAATTGCTAGCCGGTGGCAGGAGAGGGGATGACCAGACAGAGAGGGGCAGGGGCTGGCTCAAGATCACCAGTAGGCCCAGTGCTGGCAGGCTAGGGTAGAGCGCTCTGGGCCCAGAAGGGAATCTGGGCAGATGAGCCACGTCTTCGAGGATGCGCCGCCACTGGCATCTACCTGCTCCAGCCAGAACCCAGGCTTAGCCCACCCTCTGTTCCTCCGGTCGCCAGCCGACCCCATTTCCCCACCCACAGTTGTCACCGTTCCCTGTTGTCACCCCCGATGTCCTGCCACCCTCGGTCATCTCGAACCCGGCTAGCCCTCATCCCCGGCGGCTAGCGCGAGGCCCGTACTCTCCCTTGTCTCAGGTCAGGGGCGGAGGACTGCGCTGACTCACCCTTGAACGCAGAGGACCATGTCCCGGCAGCGGCGGCGGCAGCTCGGGAGCTGGGGCGCGGCCGGCCGGCGGCGGCTGGAAGGGGCCAAGGGAGCGCAGATCGCGCTCTCCGGGCGGACTACCGGGACGCACTGGCGGCGGGAAGTGACTGAGAGGCGGCGCGCCGGCGAGCCGGGAGAGCGCGGGGGGCGGGTCAGGAGGACGAGGCGGGGCCAGAGCCCTAATCTTTTGTCCTCCGCGTCCCAGCCCTTCCCGGAAGCGACGTCTTCCTAGAACCGCGGGCGGTGCAGCCGGGCGGCGGAGGGGCGCGGGCGGGGGCTCCGGCTCCCGCAGCGGCGGCGAGGGGACCTCAAAAGGAAACACCTTTGACAGATTTCCAAGAACTTTCCAGGAAAATGAGGCGGGGCCCCGAGCGCAGACCAATCGCAGCGCAGGAGGCGGAGTCCAGCGGCAGGGGTGGGGGGGTGGGGCCGGGTGAACTTGCTGGGCCGGAGCGTGACCTAGACGAAACTAGGGAAAGACCCGATTTGGAGAAGGCCGGGGAGGGGCAGGGGCTCTGCCGACCGGAGTCCAGACTTCCTTCGGGCACTTTACTTTGTTGGGGTTGGGCGTCCTTATTTCTTGGTGGATGACAGCACGTGGGCGGGGTCACACCCCTCCAAGGCGCTCTCCCTGGGGCGCAAGTGCCTCTTCTGTGTCCCATTAGGACCTCGGGGCTCAGTGTGTAGGGGGGAGGGGAGGGGAGTGGCATGGAGTGGGGTTTGGAAAGGGATGTGTGGGAGAGGAAGGGTGAGGAGGGAGGTCCCAGATCCAAGCAGGTCCACGCAGGCAAGCCTGAGGCTACCACAGTCAAAAGGAGCCAGGCAAGAACATCGTCTCTGAAAGCGTTTGAGGAGAAGGCATACGCCCCAATTTTTTGCACCTGGCAGGGCCATCCAGCCTCCACCCTGCTGGCCTCTGGCCTCTAGCCTGCCCACCGATTGGGGAAGAAGTGACGACCCACTTGGAAGGGCCAGTCAGCCCCCACCTGACTCCACAGGACAGCCCACTTGGTTTTCTGGGCTGATGGGTCTTAAAAAAAATCCAGAAGTGAAACCTGGAGCTCCAAACATCTGAGTTACCTGATGAAGAGTGATAAAGGGAGAGAGACAAAGCAGCGACACTGGATTCCATCCAGGCGGAGCACTTGCTTGATTTGATCCTCAACAGCTGGTATTGCCCCCATTTTGCAGACCTGGAGGCTGAGCCCCAGGGAACAAAATGCTTTGCTAGGAAATAGCAGGGAGGGAGTTTGAGCCCAACTCTGAATCATGAGTTCATGCTCCTGCCCCTGACCTTCTCCACCTTTTCCCAGTTCACTGGACTCACCAGAGAGTATGTTGAAAGACCGTAGGAGCTATGCACACCTGTTTCAAGCCCTTGGGCCAGAAGGAGGGTAAAATAATTGGAAAAGTGAAAGGGTCCACTCCCTGCCACCCCCCACTGCCCAGTGTATAACCCAGGTTCCCTGGAAAGATGAGCTCGGGTCACCCGCTTTGGTGGCAGGGGCACCCGGGAGGACAGTTCTTCAGTAGGAACTGTCTACTGCCCCATGACTATAAAGACAAAGGGGCTTCACAGCTGCCCAGCAGCAGAGCCAGGATTGGAACCCAGGTTTCTGTGGAGCCAAACCCCAAGCTCTCTACCCCAAGACTCTGCCCTTTCCCTCTAACTGTAACTACTTTACTGAGCACTTACTATGTGCCAGCAGTTCTTGGTCATTTCCAGCCTCATTTCATTGTCTAACTACTACATATTGTCCTCTCTTTACGGGTGAGGAAATTGGGTCGCAGAGACATTACAATGTAATCTAGATCTCACAGCTGGCAGGTGGTGAGTTGGGGCTTGATGCCCAGGGCCCCAGCCCCTCCCCCACTTCCTCTCTAGGTGCCCGTGACATGCCAACTCCCAGACATCCTTCAAGATCCAGCTGAAAGGTCCTCAGTGAAGCCTTCCTGCCCCCTGGAGAGCACAGCAGGTGTCCCCTTGAAATCTCCCCTCGGGAAAGCCAGTGATTTTGCAGTTGTGTGTAAAGGGTCTGGAGGGTTTTGCCCAACAACCACCCTTTGTAAACTTGACAGTGCTACGCACCTCACCTGGTGCTGGGAACAGTGGTGTGCCCTGTTTTTCCCCAGCTGCCTGCCTGCCCCAGGTGTTGGGGGTAGGTAACCTCTGGCCACATCCTTATTATCTCTCCCACCTGGGCAGGCCCCTACTGACTGCTGGTCCCACACTGCCACCCAGTGGCAATTCCTCTCCTGGGTTCACTGGCCCAATCCATAGAGTCTGCCTTTGAGGGTAACCCCTATCCTGCACCCGACACATGGCCCTTGCTCCTTGAGCAGTCAGGAGAGGGGTCACAGAAGTACACAGCAGTTTATTCCTCAAAGTCTGGCTCATTTGGTTTCTGTATTCTCACCATGTGCAGCCTCTCCTCTCCCAGAAGGACAATCCTTGAGTGTGAGTGTGTGTGTGTGTGTGTGTGTGTGTGTTGAGGGCAGGTGGGGTATGAAGCCCTTCTAGACATTCACTGGACCCCTGGTCAGTGTAAGCTATTCTAAAGGCTTCAGCCCCATCCCCGTGGACATGCAGCCATACGAGGGCCGTGTAGCAGGGCTTGCCACTATGAACCAACCCCGGCCCCTACCCTGCCATCCCAAATGCTGAACCCTCCTTTCAGTGTGGGTGGATGTGGCAGACAGCTGCTGGGACAGGAGCAGTGAGGGGAAGCCATGCATTCCGACTCGGGGGTTAAGTGAGCAGTTGCCAAACATCTGTCTCTGGGGGACCCATGCAGGGAATGTATGTGCTTGTGTGAGCTCTGGCCTCAGCTGTGGAAACTGCAAGGGGGGAGGGGCGTTGCCAGTAAGACTTTTTACCTTTCTGTGTAGCTTAAATTTATTATAATAAACAAGGTTTACTTATGCAAATGAAATTTGTAAAAATCCTCACCAGAGGATATGTTTATTGATTTTTTAGGGATAGAGAAAGGAGGGGGGAGACATCAGTGTGAGAGAGAAACATCAATCAGTTGTCCCCCTCCTCCCACACCCCATAAACAGCCCAACTGGGAATCAAACCCACAACTCTAGTATGTGCCCTGACCAGGGATCAAACTCACAACCTTTCGGTGTACAGGATGATGCTCCAACTGACTGGCTAGGGCTAGGTCATTAAAATGTTTAATAAAAAAGACACCAGTGTAAAAAATACAATTATAAAAATCTTAGAAAAATTGTGATCTAATTAACTCCATTTTTAGAAAGCACATTGTCAGGGACTTCCGCCAAGATGGAGGCATAGGTGGAGACACTTTACCTTCTCACACAACCAAATCTAAAAACAACAAAGTTTTAGCAACAAAAACGCAGCCAAGCCACAGAAAATTGAACAATGCGAAGTCTGACAACAACGAACCACTCAGCTAGACCGGTAAGAGGGGTAGAGCCAGCAGTGGAGCAGGTCGGGCAAAAAAGATCCCCCTTCCCAGGCAGCCAAGGGCAAATCTCAGGGGTGGGGTAGCTACGGGCAGGCCCAGTGAAGGCGCAGGGTGGCTGGCTGATCGCGGTCACACATTTGCGCGCAGATAAACCTGCGAAGGAGCGAGCAGTGAGACAGACCGCACTGGCCCCAGCGGCGGGGAGGAGCAGAGAGGACCGCCATTGCTCCCTCTCTGACTCCACCCCCACATACAGCATCACAACCCAGCGACCTGGGTGACCCTGTCCTGGTGAACATCTAAGGCGCCTTTCCTCATACGTAACAATCGTGGACAGATCAAAACATGGCTCAAGAAGAACTCAGAGCCCCAGAGCACATAAATCTAAGCGAACAAGAAATTGCCAACCTATCAGAGGCACAGTTCAAAACACTGGTGATCAGGATGCTGGTTGATTTTAGTCACAAATTAGAGGAATAAATGAAGGCTAAACTAATTGAAATGAAGGGAAATGCACAGGAAAGCAATAGTGATGGAAAGGAAACTGGGACTCAAATCAAGGGAGTGGACCAGAAGGAAGAAAAAAATGACCAAACAGAAAAATATGAAGAAACGAGAATTCCAAAAAAATGAGGAGAGGTTAAGGAACTTCCAGGACATCTTTAAACGCTCCAACGTCCAAATTATAGGAGTACCAGAAGGGGAAGAGGAAGAGCAACAAGTGGAAAACTTATTTGAACAAATAATAAAGGAGGCCCTGGCTGGTGTAGCTCAGTGGATTGAGTGTGGGCCTGCGAACCAAACAACCACGGTTTGATTCCCAGTCAGGGCACATGCCTGGGTTGCAGGCCAGTTCCCAGCAGGGGACACACGAGAGAAAACCATACATTGATATTTCTCTCCCTCTCTCCTTACCTTTCCCTCTAAAGATAAATAATAAAATCTTAAAAAATAATAATAATAAAGGAGAACTTCCCCAATCTGGCAAAGGCAATAGACTTCCAGGAAATCCAGGAAGCTCAGAGAGTCCCAGAGAAGTTGGACCCAAGAAGGAACACACCAAGGCACATCATAATTACATTAGCCAAGATTAAAATGAAGGAGAGAATCCTAAAAGCAGCACAAGATAAGGGGACAGTCACCTACAAAGGAGTTCCCATCAGACGGTTCCCGTCAGCTGATTTCTCAAAAGAGACATTTCAGGCAAGAAGGAGCTGGAAAGAAGTATTTCAAGTCATGAAAACCAAAGACCTACAACCAAGATTGCTCTATCCAGCAAAGCTTTCATTTAGAATGGAAGGACAGATAAAGCGCTTCTCAGATAAGATCAAGTTCAAGGAATTCATCATCACCAAGCCCTTATTACATGAAATGTTAAAGGGACTTATCTAAGAAAAGAAGATAAAAAATAGGAACAGTGAAAGGACAGCAAACTCACAGTTATTAACAACCACACCTAAAACAAAAGCAAACTAAGAGGACAGCTAGATCAGGAGCAGAAC